AGCCTCTGCATGGCCCCATGGGAGTCTGACAACCAATCAGAATACATTTTTTACACAGGAACAGGAAACAGGTGAGACTAAACAGGTTATAAAAAGCCTAGCAAGCCCCTCCCTCAGCCCTTCTCTTCTTCTCCACCAACATTGAAGCAGATGATCACCTTTTCTGTTCAGGGCTCAAGCCATGTGGTCCTGTCCAACAATAAGCCATCTTTCCAAGCAGCCTTCATGTCTCCAGTGTCTTTTTCCCCACTTGGAGCTGAACCCAGAAGGACATTTCTTTATCAGTTTATACAAACTTCCCATCTTTGCAACACGTTACAATTCTTTTACATATCTGTTGTGATTCTTTTATCTGTATAAATAAGCCTTTTATAACTTTATATTTATGTGCATTTATATTATTTCATACATCTTTTTTCTTCATTCTATATATAACATTCTATATAGTCTACGCATAACAACCTTTACTACGTTTGAGTCGTTTTTGTATCCATTTCCTATTATTTATTTGCTACAGTATTTCTATCTTTTCACCATTTTCCGGTTTTGTAGTTGTTTATTCATTTGTTGGTCTCTCTTCCTTTCTTTTTTTTGCTTTCCTGCTTTCCCCCCTCGTTTTAATGGTACCCAGTTTCTCATGTCTTGAACAGGCCTTGATTGCCAGACTAACAGCCACTATGAAGTCTGTGGGGTTCCCTGCCAGGATGTCTGCTCGCATGTTTGGGTCAAGCTTCATTGCCTTCCCACGTGCTCTGAAGGATGCTTCTGTGACCACGGGCATTCACACAGCGGGGACAGTTGCATTCCAGAACAGCAGTGTGGCTGCATATACAACGGGCTGAATTATAAGGTAAAATCCTAGATCCTGAGCAGGCGACACCATGTAATATTGGGTGGCTGCCATGGCATACTGTCTCTCCTGAACTTTCCTTAGTTTTGATGTAGAACTCTAATATCCTCCAGCTATGGCCTACAAAGAAGCTATTTTAGGGTTACCACGATAGCTATCCTTCCCATGGATATTCTATTACAGGGGTGTCAAATTCAATTTCTTTGAGGGCCACATCAGGGTTGTGTTTGAGCTTGGGGGGTCAGGGTGGGCATGGCCAGCTTGACATCACTTGTGTTTGGGGGGTGGCTGTGGGGCCCGAGTGAACCGCCAGCAAAAACAGGCTCCCGAGCTCCGTTTTCATTTTTTTTTAATTGAAAAGACCATATCAGGATAACAATTACAAATAAAGCAAAGCCAAAGATGTCAATAGTAAATAGCAATAGCAATAGCAATAGCAGTTAGACTTATATACCGCTTCATAGGGCTTTCAGCCCTCTCTAAGTGGTTTACAGAATCAGCATACTGCCCCCAACAATCCGGGTCCTCGTTTTACCCACCTCGGAAGGATGGAAGGCTGAGTCAACCCTGAGCCGGTGAGATTTGAACAGCCGAACTGCTGAACTGCAGTCAGCTGAAGTAGCCTGCAGAGCTGCATTTAACCACTGCACCACCTCGACTATAGTACTGTTATAGTTAACATACAAGCTAATAACTATAACAGTACTATATTAATAGTAATTACATTAATACAACCAAAAGAAAAAGAAAAGAAGGAGAGCTTTAACTAAACTTCTACTTACATTAACTTATTTACATTTTTTCCCATATTATATCCATAGTTTTATACATCTTTGTTTTCCAAACTAACATTTTTTTCAATTTTTAACTGTTTTATTTTTTTATTGAAAAGTTTTAATAAATTTAAAAAATATTTCCCCTTCCCCTTCCTTC